CCGCCAAGAGAGATAGCTAAAGAAGAGATGGGATGAAAGACCTTTAAATATCTTGCACTGAATGACACTGAAGATAAAGCTGTCTCTTTTTGAACTCCTGAATAATTACTAGATAGATAAGTGCATGGTTTCTCAGGTTATGGAAATGAAGCCTATAATATTCCTAATTGGCCAAATACTTTGGTATTATCGTTCTTCTCCTATCAGGTAGAAGAGAATTCTATTAGGTAGAAGAGTATCAGGCAGTAATGAAAAACATGCCGTGACTATAAAAATTATCCAAAATTACAAAAACAACCCCAAATACAAATCAGATGCAAATTTACACTTAGTCCTGGAGACGACAGCATAAAATCTGCTTTCAAGTTGAAGTGCTCAGGGTATACATGTTCACAACCAAGAGTCTGTATATTCACGTGCTTCGCTGATACCCCCCTTTTATTGAATGGAGAAATCAAAGAGCATCATTACCTTCAAGATGGCAATGCAGTGGGACATGAGACCCCTGGGGAGGCAAGAAGACTCAGTCAGCACTTCTCTGGAGAGACCTGCCTCCCCTCTGCAACAACTCTAACTGACACAGCTGGACACCACCTAAGCAGAGAAGGCCACGGGGCTACCGAGACTATGGCCATGACCAGTGGCCCTCCAAGTACTTGCTGACTCCTGAAGTTAGCGCTACTCCCAATCAGATCATGTTTTGTTTTTTCAAATTATGCCTTAACATAATTTTCTTTTTTTCTTTTTAAGATTTATTTACTTATGCATACAGAACTGGGGTACAAGCCAGAAGTGCAGGGGTGGTGAAAAGATTCATCAGAGACAGAGTGGGGTGCAGAACAGGCAGATCAATAAAGTACACTGCTGAGGGGAGCAGCGGGCGGGTCAGGAGAGCTCTGCCATGCCATGTGATTCACCTCTGGGGTGGGGATCGAACTCTCACTGAAGCGGCTGCTGCTCGCTTGCAGTGCTGCATCCTAACCTGTTGTGCCACCAGGGAGGGCCATGTCATGTTTTTTTATAATTCTGAGTTTCTGATCTTGTAACGTCTGCTCAGTACATACTTCCACTTATGCTCAGCCTGGTAAACTCTTTAAAAAATTTCCAAGATCCAAACCAAAAGACACCTACTTTGTGATAGTCTTCACAACATCCCCCTCTGCACCCCCAGGCAAATGGACTTGGCCGCCTGTGTGTGCCCCATAGCACTGTGCATCAGGCCCCTGCCATTTCCAACATGCTGTACTTAGCAGAATTCCATCTCCCCCACCAGTTCAATATCTGCCCTGCATATCACGCCCATAAACATCTGCCTGGTGCAGAAATGACTAAACGAAGGGGAATGGAATGGCATGAGCTTCTCTATGCACAGAGGCTCCTGCTGCGTGGGAAGACCCCTGAGGGGTAGAGGCTAAGGCAGCCCTGGAGCCCAAGGTCAATTTCATGGACAACCCAAAGATAATTCAGCACATCAGGATGACTTTATAACAATTTCTGCCACATTACAGGTCATTGTGTTCAGGTCTACAAAATAGGGGGAGGTGGGGTGTGAACAGACACTGTTGTGTCATCTTCTGATTTCTCCCCACCTGGCCAAGTCACGTGTCCTGGCAAAGGAAACCAGAAAAGGGCATCCTGAAGTGCCATTTGCCACCCCCCTGGGGACTATAAGAAAGCAAGCAGCCCCCCAGGTCTTACGAGGCATCTTCAATCCAGTCTTCATTCTCCAGAATGGCCTCAATGTGGGGGTTGGTGATCACCACATCATCCAGTTCTAACTCTGAGGGCTCAGACTGGGTCTCCATGGCACCGATGAGGTCCACAATGGGCCTGCAAGGACAAGCCCCAGGTAAGTGGTTCCTTGTAGACCATGGCTGCTGACCCTCCTCACAATGAGGACCACATGCCCCCCAAAGAGCAGAAGGAGTTAATATAATAGGTTAAAGCAGGGTCCACTTGTCCTGGATCCAAGCCTAGTCCCAGTGGGTTGCTCAGGCTACAGAGTGATCAAGGAGGCAGGCTGGGGGCACTCAAACCAGAGGAAGGTGAGATAGGACAGGAAAGCCATGAAGCGAGCACAAGGCTGCTCTCCATGACAATGTATTGTCCTTTGTAGCCCATTCTCCCTTCAAGCCTGCCTCTTCTGGCGAAGCCAGAGTTCCCACTACCCACATCTAAACCCCCTGTCTGGTGTGCAGAATCACTGTTGGTGCACTCCAGGGGCCTCATCCCATCCTGGAGAAGCAGAAGTAGAAGTAGAAATACTGGAGAAGCTCAGTACTTTCTACTTTCCAGGGTTCTTTAAGTAATAAGATACCACACCATGTTTCCACACTGGAGAGTTCCTGGGTCACACAAATGAACATTTGCTAATTATTGGCCACTCAACAGAAATGCCGGTAGGATGCACACAGAGGAGGAAGAGAAAGAGAGGGCAACTGCCGCCGGTCCTTTAAGAATCTACCAATTAAAACACCCCCAAACTGAAACCAGGATCCTGCATACAAAATATATTTCACATAAAATGAGCCGCAGAGCAACGAGAGAGAAATTCTCCACTGGGATTTCACCACTCCGAGCATCTGCTGCTTGGAAGTGTGGCTGGCGAGGGGGCATTGATTTCTGTTCCTGGTTTGGTTGGAAAGTTGTTCAAGTGCCAAATGAGATAGCTGGGCTTTTTTTCCTTTCTATTGTCTTTTTTAAATTGAGATATAATGGGTACATAGCACTATATTATTAGTTTTAGTTGATATGTGTAGACATCGTGCAGTGATTGCAATAATTCTGGTTAACACCCATCACTACACTTAATTACTTTTTTTTTTTGGAAATGAGAATTTTTTAAAATCTTCCCTCCTGGCAATTTTCAAATATCAAATAGCTACTTTGGCTGGGTGAACACATTCAGTCCTTTCTCATTAGTTCAGTGAGAGTGAGAGGCAGCTCAAGGAATGGGGGTGCTGAGGGTGGGTGTGAAAGGAGGGGATTAAGAATGTACTTAAGCTCTGAGGTCGTCATCAGGAAAGGCAGTGTTCAGGTCCCATTTTAGAACCAAAGAGCTGAGCTTGAGTTGCCCGGTCCCAAATCTCTTTGTCTTTTATTGCAGCCCCGGGGAAGGGTTGCCCTTCACACCCTCCCAGCCTTGGGTCTACTCACTTGGAATCATAGTGCCGCAGCAGGACCCGAGGCCTGCAGTAACGCTGTCTGCACACCACCACCAAGGCTGCAAAGGAAGCCAGGAAGATGGTGGCCAGCACACCTATGGCAACGATCACCACAGTCTCCATGCTTCCAGATAATTCTCTCAGTCCCGGTCACATCTCCCTCATGGGCTGAAGCTTGAAAGAACACAAGAGTAGAGAGGGCTGGTAAAGCAGCAACAAGGAGGGGGGGTGGGGAGGAGGAACAGTAGAGTCTAAACTGCCAGTGGGGTTTCAGGGAGCAAAGATCCCCCAAGTCACCTGCAGAGACCTGAGGGCCTGAACAGGATCAAGATGATGCATTTTATGTTTGCTCTAAGTTTGCCTTTCCTTAACAGATTCTTGTAGTTTACAACAGGGCAGGTACTAAGAATGTGTCATGAGGTGATTCCATCATTGCACAGACATCAGAGTGATATTTCACAAACCTAGATGGGATAGCCTCCTGCATGCCTAAGCTGTATGGTACAGCCTACTGGGACAGCATTGTACAGGTGGTTTGTCACTGACCCAAATGTTGCTAAGCGACAAGTGACTGCATTAAAAGACTGCTGCCCAGCAGGGTCTTTAAAACCTTGAACTGAAAGGAAAATTTTCATTATCACTATTGTTTTCACCTCTATACCAACTGCATGAAAGAATGCCCAGTTAAGAAGATTGTATTTTCTGAATGTCTATTCTTTTCCAGGCACTTGGTATGTGTTAGCTCTTCTACCAATCCTATGAGATAGATATCAGTATCCCCATATTATGGTTGAGAAATCTGAGTTTCAAGAGGTTAAATAACTTGTCCATGTTTATGTAGGCAGAAAGCAGAAAGTCATCCACTTAAACTAAGAGGGATATTCACTGCTCTTTTCCTTTCTAAAGGAGGAAAGAGGATTCTAACAACTCTGATTTCTGATTGTCAGTTTGAGTGTTAGAAACTCACAACTGGTGTTAAAGTGGTCCTTGCCTATTGCCTTGTTGCTGAGAAGATAGTTTCACACCAACTTTAAATTCATAGACTAAAGGAATGAGGGTATCTCAGAAGTGTGTCTTCTTACATTGTTTCACTGCATCTCCCCTACTTGTGTCCCTTTGAGTAAATCTCTCCCCTCCCCCACCCCCCCCCCCAGCGTTCATTTCTCCACCTGTAAAAAAAAAACAGTGCTAGATGTGGCCATGACCCCAGGACAATACATCTCTTCTATTTGGACTTAATTCTATGTTTGAGTCCAAAAACTCCCCCCCTGGCCATTCATAATGCACCTAGCACAGGGCAGGTTTCTAGAATTTGGAGAATAAAACATGTGCACCAAACCCTATGAGGGGAATTCACTTTCCCACAGGGGGAGAAGGCTGAGATCTGTCTCTCTATAGCATTGACTTTGTGTTAGGGAAGCAGTAATCCTAAGGGTCTGCCTCAATTGCTCTGTGTATGTTTCTCTACACTGACTTCCTCAAGCATTTCCTCCTTTAGCCCTTTTTCTTTCCGCATCCTCGGTTGGAAAGTTGTTCAAAGTCCAAGCGAAGTGGCTAGAGGGCTCTACCGGGCTCCATTTTCCCTCTTTCTTTATGGTTTCCTCTCCACACCCGGCTACTTTCTAGTCTCTGCTGTCGACCCCCTTCGCCCTCCCCCCACTCCCACTCCCGGTATTCTCTTCCCTCTCCCCCTACCCCAGGGCCTCCAGGACCACCCGCTTTTTTCTGTTCTTTCCGGTGCTTTTTAGGTGCTTCTCTGCGAGTGAAAGAGCTTTCGCTGAGTTTTTGCCGTCTTTCTCGGAGATGTGTCTGCATGAATGTTTCTTTGTGGGTTTTTCTTTTTCTTTGTGTATTCTCTGTGTGTTTCTGTTTCTTTCTCTGTGTCTGTATAAGCTTGTGTAGGTCTTTTACTCTCACATTCCCTCTCTAATGGGTTCCAAACCCATTCCATGAAAACAGGCCCACGATCCTCCCCGACCCGCCCACCCAGCACACCCACCCACCCTAACACCCAAGACGGCCCAAAAGGGGGAGACTCTCCCACCCCAAAGAGGTGCGCGGTGCTCGGACGGATCCCGGCGCTTAGCTCCAAGTTTGTGCAACTAGTGTGTGCCAGGGCCTCGCCCGCGCGGACAGAGACCCCAACAAAGCAGAGGCCGGGCGGGGGCCCCTCCCCCCAGGCAGCGGCAGCGCGGCGCCCAGATATCTGCACCCCGCCCGCCCAGCCCCTGGGGCGCCCTGCTCAGACGGGGCTGGGCTCGGTCGGGCGTCTGGGGCCCCTCTCCCACAGTTCCGGGGCGCGGCGAGGCTCACCCACCTCAGGCAGCGGCTGCCGGACGCATCCCTGCTGCCGGGGCCCCCAGCCGATCGCGAAGTCCGGGCGCGGGACTCACTGGCGGCTCCAGCCAGCGGGGCATGCCGGGAAGGAGCTGGGCTGTCCGAAGGAATCGAGATAAAGTCCCCGGCGCAGGCAAACCCCCCGAGATGGAGTGGGAGGGGAGACGCAGGCCGGAGCATCCAAATCCCCCGCTGCCTGGCGCCGCCGTCACCGCCAGGCCCCCGGGGCGGGCCGGGGTGGGGGCCGCGTGAGGCCCGGGCAGCTGGACGGCAGTCACTGGGCAACCCGACAGGCGGTCCTCGGCTCGACAGGCGGTCCTCGGCTCGTAGAGGGAGGTGCGGAGGGCCCCTACCCCTACCCGGCAGGGCATCCCCTGGGACTGGTGAGCCGGAGGGTTTCCACGGTGTGACTGGTCAGGGAGCCATTCTGCTCTTTTGCACGCTGTAGGGTGTCAGTCCAGACTCTGCCACTCACTAGCTGTGGGTCACCTAGTTCACCTCTGTGAAATAGGGTTAGTGCTTACCAGCACTCTCAGAGTGGACATAGAGGTCAAATGACATGATGCACGCCATTTTAGAGTGCCCAGCCCAGAGTAAATTGTGAATTGTTGGTCTTGTTAAAGCCTCCCGCACTGGCAGTGACACCCCTAGCAATGGCACTGCCAGGTCAAGAATAGAAATAGAGGAACCTGGCTGGCAATCTCACCCCTCCTGCTGACGGTTTGCTCCATCCCATGCAAAGGAGGGTTCTGTGGACACAGTCCACCGCCCTCCAAACTGCCACCCTCAGGCTTAAAGATATCTGCCCAGGCCAGACTGAAGGACCGGTTCCACGTAGACCCTGGGAGGCAACTGGAACTTCTTGGGTAGTGATTCCCTGAGTCTAGTGGACTAGAGGCATGATTTAGAAGGTCATCCTCTTTAGCCTGGTACTCAGCCTGGGGAGGTGGGGACAAGACCAGAGCAAGGCCAGCTAAAAGCCTAGGGCGCAGGGCAGGTGTCAGGTACCCCAGGATACAGGTAATGCATGCTTTCCAAACTGATTGCTCTAGGTTTCAGCCAGTCCCCAGAATGATTGTTTGGCTCACAGTTTGTTGCTGTTGTTGTTGTTGTTTTAATCAATTCATCATCAACATTTTGATGTCAGGAATTTCACTTATATCTCTAGATTTTCAGCTTCCCTGGAAACTTCATAGGAGCATAGAATGCATAGGAAATGCACTCATCAGGAGGAGAAGGGCAGCCTCATGTCCAGGCTTGCTCTTCTGGCCCCCCAAAGCCCCCAGCAGCAGGCAGTGTAGGAACAGGCACTCGCACCTTTGGTTAAGTGGCTGGCTCTCTGGACAGCTGAAGTTCTCCTCTCCTAGCACTTGGGAAAGAGAGGGCTGAGGACTGATTGCATGCCCCTCAAAAGTGCTTTCAGGGGGAAGCCACATCTGAGTAAGGAAAGCAGGTTTACAGCAAAGCAGCAAACATCAGGATGGGTGATTGGGGGCAATGAGCATCTCCATCTCTTGGAGATATGGAGAAAATGGGGTGCTTCTTTTGTTTTGGTAGTTTAAATATATAATGCCATGAGGCAAGAGGCAAACCACATGATCTCTGTGAGCTCTCTGGGATTTTATGAGAGATAAAGGCAGTATTAACCTTGGGGAGTTTATAACACTAGTGGACAAGATCCAAATACACAAATATATATATATATATATCAAAAACAAGTGAAAATTATCTCTACTGCTGCCTGCAGTTGATGGTGTAAGTAGCCCCATTTAGCAACCACTCCCAGCAGGAGGATGGGGCCTGTGCCTTTCCCAGCGAGTGGTCTCCTGTCATTCCAGCAACATCTGTCATCCCAGTGGCCTGGAAGTCTCCCTGGATTGAGTGAGATCTTGTGTGACCTGTAAGCAATAAAAATGTTGCATCTGGAAAGAGGATTTGTTGGAAGGACAAGGGATGCCCCCAGAATTAGTGGAAGACTGAAGACCCAGATTAGGAAGTGAGCAGACACCAGAGGGGGCCGAAGGACTGGAAGCCACTGCCCTGAAATGTTTCTGACCCTCTCTCCAACACATTTTCCTTCATTCCAGATTCAAAGTGCTATATAGGACTTCACCCTCTTTCCATGGTGAGGCGAGATACAAGCCGTACCTTACCTTCCAATATATCTACAAGCAAAGAGGTTCCCCCCGCCCCAACAAAGACAAGAGGGTGGTTGCTAAATTCCTCCCCCAAATCCAAATATCCTTCTACATATGGCATATGGCCCCTCCTTACTCAGTCTGAACACCAAATTGTGTTTCAAGGGTCCCCAAATTAAGGGCTGAATCCAGTGATTAAAGTGGAGAAGTCAGTAGGTGGGAAATGGTGCTGACCAGTGTGAGGACGGAAGAGACTCAGTTCCTGGCCAGTGTGCACAAGCTTTTGCTCTGCCCAGGCAAAGAGTAAAGGTTTGCTGAGCACCTATTATGTACCAGTGGGCCACTGATGAGGCATCTTTTGTGTCTTACTTTTTAATCATCTCTCGCCAAACCCCCCAAAACCAGTATAACTAGGTTTGTGAGGGAGAAAAAGACTCAGAGGAGCAAGGAACTTACTTGAGCTCTTTCAGCTTGTAAGTGGGAGGGCAGGGGCATTCTCTGGTCTCCCCTGTGCCAAAAGCAGACCAAACTAGGAAACTGCTAGTTCTTCCAGCAATATAAGCATGAGAACAAGTCAGGCTGTCATGACCCTGCCACTCTGTCACAACACCATCCTCAAAAATACTCTGTCCCTGCATATGAGCTGGGTGTGCTACTCTCCTGCCCATGCCATCTTGATGTCCTTCTTGTTTTGTTTTTCCTTGTGATGCCTGTTGCATAGCTGGATCAGTGTTGTGTGAAGCTCCTGGGTGGTTCTACTTCCTGCACGTAGTGCTGTCTTGTGTCCTACTAATAAATAGGGGGGATTGCTTGCTTGGCAATCTGGCTACAAGTACTGAAGATGCTCATGATCATCCACGTGGGGCAGCTGAGCACCCTCTGAAGGATAGCTCAGGAGATCAAGGTGGGAAACATGTAGCTAACAGACGTTGCTCATCTACCTTCCTATCCACTTCCGTCCATGACTCTGGACAGCAGCGCCTTCCTTCCATACACACAGGGCCACAGGAGTAGGAGCCCAAGCCAGGAAAACAGCCATTGAGTCTACCTCCACCACTTAGCTGTGTGATCTCAGCTCACTGCATCTAAGATTCCCCATCTGTAGAAGGGGGTGAAAATAAAATCTACAACCAGTGGATATCCTGAGGGTTAAGTGAGAGAATGCATTTCAAGCACTCATCTCATAGAAAACAGAATGCTGATTGCCATGGACTAAGAGGAGGTGAAATGGCGGTGATGATGGTACAGCAGTGAGAATGTACTCAATGCAGGTGAACAGTAGGCTTACAAGAGGTCCAAATTGTAAGTTTTATGCTGTGTATCTTTTGTTGCAATTTGAATTACAAAGTGCTCATCACTTTTTAATATGTAGATAAAAATGGAGCCCCACTGATGGTCCGCAAACATGCCTGCCCACCCTCCACAGGGCCTCTGCCTGAAACCCCACCCGTCATTCCCATGGCTCACTCCCTATTACCAGGCATCTGCTCAAGGCTCACCTGCACTGAGAAGTCACCCAATTAAAAGTAGCACCTCATCATCTGCACCCCTACCCCATCCTGATGCAGCTTCTATAGCCTTATGACTGCCTGGCCTTGCACTAAATATTTGTTTTGTTGCCTTCCCCCTTTCAGAATATACCATCTTCCTCTCTTACCCATTCTAGTGTCTTTACCACCCTCTTCAGAATCAACGGAACACCCGCTTGCACTTATTATTTAGGGAAGAATGGGTAGATGTGTATAAGGGGAAAGAACATTCCATATTTTATTTAACAGAGGCAAGGTTGGCTCAAGAATGACTTAAACACGTGAAGGGGAGATCTTTTATCTCTAAAATACTAACAATGATGTAAAACAATGGCATTTCAATAAAAAATGTAAACTCCTGTCCCTTCCCAAAAAATAAAATGATTTTATGCATCAGTAAGGCAAAGTTATTTGAGTCTTCATGAATTATAAGCTCCATAATGGCAAAGGCTTTATTGTCTTGTTCTTTGTCAATGCCCAATACATCGAACAGTGCCTGCCACCTCGTAGGTACTCAAGAAACACTTGTGGAAACAGTGAAAATAAAGCTCTGCTATGGTCACTGTTGCTCTACAGTAGGATTAGGAGCCTGAGACCCTTTCTGTTTTAAAAAGATTTATTTATTTTTGCACACAGAACTGGGGTACAGTCCAGAAGTGCAAGGGCGGTGAGAGGATTCAACAGAGACAGAGCAGGGAGCAGAACAGGTAGACTGATGAAGTGCACTGATGAGGGGAGCAGCGGGAGGTCAGGAGAGTCTGCTGCACCATGTGGGTCACCTCCAGGGCGGGGATCAAACTCATGCTGAAGTGACTTTAGCTTCTTCGTGCTGTGCTTTAACCCGCTGTGCCACCAGGGAAGGCCCCCCTTTCATAACACCAGGAAGCCCACTAGGGTGACAGCTGCCTGGTAAGCAAAGGACAGGATGGTTAAGCATTGGGCTAACACCCAAAAAGGGTAAGGCAATGGGGAAAAAAAGAAGATTGATTGGAATAAAAGAGTCCCAATAAATCCTTGGCATAACTCTGAGTCCATGTTTTATTTCAGTGTTCAGGCCCTTTGATTGGCTAGGAAATGGATTTCCAGGGAGAGAGAGGACTGCTGGGGAGTGGTTTGTGTACACACAGGTCAGGCATTCTGAGAGCTGTGGGCGTGGACAGAAACCACGGTGAGGCCATTTCCCCAGCAGGAGTGAAAGCCAACAAACTCAAACTGCCAGGGCAGGCCTGGGAGGGTACAGAACCAGGAAGTGGGGAGAGAGAAGGTTGGAGAACAGCGACTGGCAGGACCTCACTGGGCCAGGACCCACTGGGAACAATGGCATTTCCAGGTGCCAGAGATGGTAAATCGGAGTCTCCCCAGGGGGGTGAGGGCATTGCACCTGGGCAAGGCTGGGGTAGAGGGCTAGAGAAACTATACTTGGCACAAACACTCCAAATCTTCAAAGGGCTTTTCTGAAGGAGCTCTAACGAGGGGCTTCACAGCATTCTTCTCTTGCCCATGTTATTTCATCACCTTTTTTGAGTCAGTGGAACTTTCTTTTACTCTGATTATTTAAGGAGTCAGGAGTAGGTGTGTACAAGAGGAAATAACCTCTCCTATTTTACTTAAAACAGCTGAGGTGGTTTCAAGAATGGATTTAATACTATCAGTAAAGTCATTTGGGGTTGCAGCTGTAACCCTGACCCATCAGCACGTCTCTGCATGGTTCGTTAAGACTGTATCCACCACAGTTCTGCTACTTTTTTTTTTTAATTTGATAGCCTCATAAAACTTTTATTTTCATTTTCTTTTTTTTTAACAGTTTAATTTTACATCATTTTGTACATTTTTTTTTCCATCTCAATTGTAATCCCCGCAGGTTTCCCATCACCAAGTCACCCGTGTGCCATCACCATAATCCCATGCATTTCCCTCTCCACCCCCTCGTTTTTGATCCCATTCCCCACTCCACCCCCACAAAATGTCTCTGGTATATGGTTGTTCATTATTCTTGTTATTTTCTCGCCTGGTCCATTATACTCCTGCTATGAGTGAGACCATCCGGTATTTTTCTTTCTCTTTCTGGCTTATCTCACTAAGCATGATCTTTTCCAGCTCCATCCAAGTTGCTGCAAAAGACATGTGTTTCTCTTTTTTGGTTGCTGAGTAATATTCCATTGTGTATATGTACCACATCTTTTTTATCCAGTCATCTACTTTTGGGCATTTGGGCTGCTTCCATGTTTTTCCAATTGTAAATAAAGCAGCAATAAACATGGGAGTGCAGGTATCTTTTTCAATCAGTGTTTTTGTGTCTTTGGGTAGATACCTAGGAGTGGGATTGCCAGGTCGTAGGGAAGCTCCATGTTTAAGTTCTGCTACATTTTAAGATTTTAGGTGCCAGCCCTATGCCATGTGCTTTTCAAAGATTCCATATTATTGTAACAGTCCCTTAAAAAACACATTATTGACCCTCCCTGGTGGCGCAGCGGGTGAAAGCACAGCACGAAGAAGCTAAAGCCACTTCAGCATGAGTTCGGTCTCTGCCTTGGCGGTGATCCACAGGGCGCGGCAGACCTGACCCGCCCGCTGCTTCCCTCAGCAGTGTGTTTCATCAATCTACCTGTTCTGCTCCCGCTCTGTCTCTGGTGAATCTTCTCACTGTCCCTGCACCTCTGGCCTGTACCCCAGTTCCATATGCACAAATAAACAAATCTTAAAAAAAAAAAAAGAGGCATTATTCCCTTTTGCTTTACAGATGAGATTGGAGCTCAAAGAAGCTAAGTTCTATTTTACAGCAAGAAAGGGGGGCCCTGGGCTCTGTACTAGAATTGTCTGAAAGCTGCACCATGTCACCGAGCACTGAGCACCATGCCTGTATGGCCCGTAATTGTGCCCCAAATATCTGGTTCCATATCACCTGAATTAATGTGTTTTCACGATGCCATTCATACCTGTTTCAGGTGCCTGACCAGTAGCACCATATCTAATTGTCTCAGCAGCTCACGGGGTAGGAGGGACATCGAGGATCTGGGAGGATCAGTGACTTGTCCAAGGTGCCACAGCTAGAAGTGACAGGACTGGGAGACAAAGCCAAGGTGGTCTGATTCCAAGTCCTGTCTGTGTTCCCTCCTGACCCCCTCTTCCCGATGTACTCTTCTTCTGATGGCCATCAGTTCACCTCTAATGGAATTTCATCGCCATTAAGTTGTTTGTTTTGCCTAAAATTTATGAAATACAATGGGGAAAATATCTAATAGCAATGCCCTAGACCAAACCCTAAGAAACACTCTCACGTACATTATTTTCATGTATATTGTGACTTTCACCACCAAGCTGTGCAGCACCAATTTACAGATGCAGAAACAGATGTTGTCAAGTAGTTACCTGACAAGTTCAGTGAAGACTCTTTTCACTATACCACGATGATCTAAGTTCAAAGTCAAGCTCATACTGGTGTTAATGAACCAAATGACAGGTAGAGAATTAGAGGCGAGTCGAACAATCTTCCTGCATTTCTTAACCATCTTCCACTGCCTAATCTAGGGTTCAGGCTCTGTGACCCTCAGCTCATGCCCTTGTCCTTGGACTTCAAACCTGCATTGCTAGTAAAAATAAATGGCAGGGCCCGATGAAGGGTAACTAAACAGTTAAAGTAACCTGGGTCACTGCAAAAGGGGTTAGGTATCGTAGCCCATTTGCTTTTCCCCTGGGTGTAGCAGCTCTTAAAAGATACATTAACTCCTTGGCCCACTCAGTCAAACCCATACCTATGATGGGAAACAGGACAGGTAACCTGGGTTTTCCTCTAGACAAAGTCAGAGTCCCACACCTGGAGCAGGTGCATTGGAGCAGAGTCATTAGGACCTGCTTAGATCCCTGAGGACAGTCAACTCTCAGACGGAGGTAGACAGAGGAGATCCTTCACTCAGCTTATGAGTAAGCTGGGATCACAATTTCCCAAGGCAAGAGCAGACTGGAAGGAGCGTTTGTGATTACCTGACATTTGTATAAACCCTAGCCATGTTTTGGGGGTGTCCAAAAGACATCTTAGGATGCTTTCCCTAAATTCCTAGGATAACAGGAGCCTAGCAGAGCACCCCAGATCTTATAGCCCCAGCCTGCCTGTGGCCAGACTGTCCACTTGTGGGTACCCATCTGTCCGTCCTTTCAGAGAGCCCAGGGCCAGGGATACAACATCCTTCAAGAGACAACTATGGGGTGAATGCAGAAGGCTTCAGTGTCTCCCAAGTGGAACTACAACCCCATACCTTATACAAAGTTGCTTCTGCATCTGCTGACAAAGGAGATGCACTTCAAGGAGTGGTCACTGGGTGTCACCACTGCTTCTTAGGCAAGTACCCTCATGGGCTTGCCAGCCCACTGGGGGAGGCAGTTCACTGAGACTCAGTTTACAAGCCCGACATGGGTGCCCTCCACGAACTCCATGACATTCTCATTCCCTGCCCTCCTGGATCGTGCTCCTTGCTGGGCTTACTCCCTCTCCCTTAGGGTGGCAGAACCTGACTCTGCATTCTCCACCAGCAGAGCAACAACAGCTGTATCCAGCTGGAAGTTTTGAAAGCAAGGCTGGCTTTGCTCTAGATCCACGAGCACAGAAACCAACAGGCGCACATAGATCCACGAGCACAGAAACCAACAGGCGCACATTCCCAGCGGCCATCTGCCCACCAGCGTCCAGGTTTCCCACTCGGAACCCTTTCCATGCTTAGCACCTGCTCTTCATGTCCTCCCCCCCCCCCCGATGCCCCAGACTTCTGCCATCTAAAGCACATCAGCTGTTTATTCTTTCTGCTTCTAAATTACTGACTTTTTAAAATTCTATAATTGTATTGTTTTTGTCCACAATTGGGACCAGCTTTTACACACATGCTATTGGGCTGAGTGCTACATAAATAACCAATGCTGTGAGTCTGACACTGCACAAGCAAATACAACCCTTTCCACTTTAGCTATTTGCACCCCAAGGTAGGGGTCCTTTTTAAGAAAAAGTATCAGCTCATTCCTGTGCAGCAACTTCCCTCCTGGAGCTGAAATTCGGAGACATGGCAAGTATGGTGTTGCAGATTGAATTATGTCCCCAGAAAAGATAACAGGTAGGCTCACAACAGGAGGGAAGCATGACAGAGCAGAATTAGACTACCATGGACAACAGACATAACGCACACACAAGAGAAAATGCCTTCCTTTTTTTTTTATTAAAAAGTTTATTTTTACATCATTCTGCACATTTTTTTTCCATCTCAATTGTAATGCTCGCGGGCTTCCCATCACCAAATCACCCCTGTGCCACCACCATAGTCCCGTGCATTTCCCTTCCCTTCCCCCCCGCCCGCGTTTCTGATCCCATTCCCCACTCCACCCCCACAGAATGTCTCTGGTATATGGTTGTTCATTATTTTTGTTAGAAAAGGCCTTCCTTTTTGTCACAAATTAAGTCAGAGGAAAACAACACAGACAGAACCCGGAGACCAGGCAGGTGGTATAGCGACTGGCACAGCAGGGACCTCTCTTCTTCCAACCTAGCCTGCAATGTAGCCTTTATGAACTTATTATTTATTTTTTGACAAGTACGCCCATCTCTACAACAGGGCCGATCAGAAGTGCTGCATTTATTCAAATGCTCTTCCAAGAGGATGTCTGCTTGGCTGCTTCGAGGATCTCTCTGCTGGTGACAGCTCTTCTGTGGTAGAGACAGGACAGTCTAACTGCCTCCAGGCTCACCGGAGAGCCCAGCCCTCCAGAGAGCCCAGCATGGCCAAGACGCAGGAGCACCCGCTGAAGTCCAGGTGGGCCTGGGAGAGAAACAGAGTAAGGGTGAGACACAGAAGGGAAGGCTTCCACAATAAACACATGTACGCTCTGCAGTGCTGGCTTTCTGGACTTGTGCACATGTGGAAGCACCCACAGGGCCAATGGTCGGGCTGTGATGACAGCAATGAAGCTGTTGTATTTGTCACATGATCGCTGAGGAGGAGAGAGGAGGGGGGTTTGGAGCTGATGGGAAAGATAACCCTTAGTCTGGATAGTACAGACTAACTGGTTACTTCAACTTTTATGCCTCAGTGTTTCCTGATAGAAGCAGAGTTAACTCCCAACCTTCTACAGATGGAAAATGCAATTTTAGTGTAGCTGATATTTCCACACCATCATGTGAGCATTTTGTTTCAACACTTCCCAATTCCCAGCCTTACTTCCCAATGCCAACATGATTTCTCCAGCCAACCTGAGAAACTTGCTCTTTCTCAGATGTGTCCCCTTGTTTTCCTGTCTCCATGCTGTTTATCTGTCATCTCTATCTAGCATGCCTGCACTCAGCTCCACCTTTCAACTGCTTGAAGGCCATCCTTGAAGGCTCCTCCCAAGTGCCGCACCTCCTGCTTATCTGTGTTCCACACAACCTCACGGAGCCCCCTCCCCCAGGGCCAGTGCACTGTGTTCTCAGAGCCAGTATCGCCTGCTGCCTTATGTCATGTGTGTTCCAGTCTCCACTTTGCAGAGAGGCAGCTGGAGCAAGTGGTCAAAAGAATGCTGACCTGACATCCCCCCAGACCTCTAATCCTGGCTCTGTCTGGATGTGAGCCATTATGAAAGCAAGTCACAGCCTCCGTTTCTTCTTTGCAAACAGACGCTTGATTAAAGTAGGAGTTGCAGGGCTCTCCAGGTTCTAGTAATTTACAAGTATTTCCCCACTGTCCCCTCCCACTGCAGGGCTGTGAGCCTCTTCACAATGGAGACTGCATCGCTTCTTGATCTCCCAAGCAGACCTGGCGTGCGCTTAGACACCCAATACATTTATCCAACCAACATCTTGTTCTCTCCTCACAGTGTCCTGGGAGGCTGACCCAAGACACAGATCTGACTCTTGGGAGGCCTCAAGAAGCTGAGTGACCTGCCAGACCCACCCAGTGAAGGTCAAGGACAAGCCAAGGAAAGGCCAGCGCTTAGAGGACCACTCATTCCAGACAAATGCAGGCTCCACAGTGGTGGTGTTAGGGGGAAAGGATGTCCTGCAGAGTCTTGTGGACTCACCCCCTACTCTAGCTTTCTGGACTCCATCCCCTACTCCAGTGATTGGAAACTACAACTCCCAGCAGTACCAGCCAGAGAAATGTGAGGCCCCAAGGGCGGAGTTAAGCAGACACGCTGGGACATTGGGGGATAAATAGGGCGCCATTGCATCTCTCTCTCACTCGGGAAACAGCTTTCGGGACCTTGTGACTCGGGGCTTTCAGTTAATTTGTTACCAGAGCTCCAAGTCAGCCAAGCTGGTAAGATATTCCAGTTGTTGTTTCCTTTTCTTTTCCCCTTTTGTAAATAAACCCATTTTGACGCTTTTGTGTGTGTCTGAATTTTAAGCACACAGGTAAAGCCCTACAGACAGGCGGCCCTTTACACACTGGGCTGCCCTGTAACAGTGGTTCTCAACTGAGGACCATTTTGGCTTCCAGGGGCTACTATGTAATAATCGTAGACATATTTTGGGTGTCACAATTAGGACACCCAGTGGGTAGAGGCCAGGAATGCTGCTCAACCCCTTACAGTGAAAGGGACAGCTCCTCCCCCGATAATAAAGGATTATCCAGCCCCCAAATGTCAACAGTGCTGGTATTAAAAAACCCCCGCTCTATATCACACACCTTCTCTCTTAACTTTCATCCCATTTCTCTCTTCTTCCAAGATAAGCAACAGGCTGCAAATGATATTACTGGAATACAGAGGGTTTGGTAAAATTATACACAAACACTCCCCATCTCGCTTCGATGTCATGAAGCAACTCCAAAACCAAGTCTTAGCACATCTTTCACGGACTCTTTTTACTCTTTCCCATAACTTCTTTTGAAGAGGAAGCCTTTCCTGATTTCCTACAATTTGTATACTAGTGGCGTGGCTGGGTGGGCAAGAAGGAGTTAGCAAGTTAACACACTTAGTAAAGTGTCTAAGTACCCAGCTCCTATTTCATGAACTCTTCCAAGTGTTAGAGCAGACGAGGGGGCAAATCCCCTCTCTACAAGAAAAGGGAGGTGTTCAAGAGTCTGTTTACAGATTGCCTGTCAACAGATACAAGAAAAAGACACTAAGAGCTCAGGTGTTCAGAGTGGCTGCCAGCAGAGCGTGAGCCAAGCAGGAGGGGCAACCACCAGCAGATCCTGTTTGGAGAAGCTTGTCTGCACACAGCTTTTCAGGAACTCTGTGTGTGCAGAAAGACTCCTCAGAAGAAGAATCAGAGTTCAAACCAAGAACACACCCAGGGCACTAATGTGGTACTATCTTGGCCATTCTAAGCTTCCCCAGAGTTTGCTTGTGTTAGAACCCTCCCCACGGAAACACAATAGGCCTCCTTCTTCTTCCATCTCTTTTACCCAAAGGCTGAGCTGGCCCACTTGTGCTTCTTTTTCACTGGCAAGCCCTTTTTTTTTTTTTTTAAAGATTTATTTATTTGTGCATACAGAACTGGGGTATAGGCCAGAGGTTCAGGAGCGGCGAGAGGCTTCACCGGAGACAGAGTGGGGAACAGAACAGGCAGATCGACGAAGTACACTGCTGAGGGGAGCAGCGGGCGAGTCAGGAGAGGTCTGCCACGCCATGTGGTCCCTTCCGGGGCAGGCGGGAATCGAACTCATGCGGAAGTGGCTTTAGATTCTCAGTGCTGTGCTTTAACCCGCTGCGCCACCAGGGAGGGCCCCGGCAAGCACTTTTTAATCGTCTTTTTAGGGATTCTTAGGCCATGTGAGCAAATGCAGTACATGTTGAAGGCTTAACCTTTACCCTCTGGGTTACAGCACAGGCTCAAGGGAAGCGCATGTTGGAAAGGTTTTATAAGGAGTGCTGAAAGGCACGCTTTCCTAGTAAATTCGGTTACTGGTGCTGCACCTGCAGGAAATGAAGGCTCTTGGCAGCCTAAGAGCTATTAGGTAGAGTCTAAAGCCGGGGCTTCTATAGTATTCCCAAACAGAGTATGAGGAGAGGAATACAAAACCATCAGCTTTTTTCTGTTTCCTCCCACTTGACAGAATGGCCATCAGTGTACCAAGCTACCCTTACCTTGGAAGTTATTCCTTCTTCATGCCTGGCTCTGGTCACAATGATTTCCCACTACCACTGGGAGTGGGATTCTAGAACGTGTAGGTTGCAAAGAGTCCCAGGTGAATCTAATGAGCAGTCAGCATTGAGATACACTGATCTACAAAAACCTCCCAAAGCACCTACACGTGATTTAGGGTTGGATGGGAGGAACAGCTATTCATGGACATAATGCTATTTCCCATGTATTTGTATTTGCATTGGAAAAGAAGGGGGCTCTCCCTAGTGGCTCAACAGGTTAGGATGTAGCACTGCAAGCTAGCTGCAGCCACTTCAGTGCGAGTTCCATCCCAGGCTCCAGAAGGGGATCCACATGGTGTGGCAGACCTCTCCTGACCGGCCCGCTGCTCCCCTCAGCGGTGTACCTCATCAATCTACCTGTCCTGCTCCCCACTCTGACTCTGGTGAATCCTCTCACTGCCCCATCCTCTGGCCTGTACCCCAGCTCTGTATGCATATAAATAAATCTTTTTTTTTTTAAAGGAAAAGGGCATCTCCCAAAAGGCAAGCATATACCTAGTTATGCAAGAGCGATTAGAAACACAGGTAATGAAAGTGTGAAGATGCAGTAAGACACTGCCTTTAAGATTGAACTTTGAGAAACTGTACTTAGAGAGGCCATAAACTCTGCAATTAGTGTATCAGCTCAGCTACAAGGAAGTGACTGGCCTGACATGAACCGACAGATAAGAAGACATCAGAGAACCAGTGTATCAAAAGAACCAGACCAGAACAGACTCTTTCCTCATCCACTTAGTTATGAGCTACATTAAAATCCCACTGGAGGGAATTAGTGAATAAGAACACTGTCATCTACATTTATTGAGCCCTAACTATGTCCCAGAACCCATGCTAAATGCTTAACCATCTCGATCTTACCTAGTTTTACTTCTGTATCAAGGGCTTAGGTGACTTGCCCAGGATCACATATAGCATACAAGGGGTGGAACTAACTCCCGAGCCTTTCTTTCTCACCCCACACTCTACCAGCTTCTCAACATGAAGACCAGGACCTCACCATCCTTCCAGGTACTGTACTTAGTCATCGATGGAGAAGTTTGAAGGTAACCACAATGTAAGTACAATTCTTCTAAATGAATGCTTTGATAAAACACTGACAACAGAAGCTCAACTGGATGCTTAGATGAAAGGAAAAAGAGATTCCATACTGCCATGCCCAACCCACCACCCCAACTCTTACTCTCATTTCAATGCTTCCATCTTCCACTATTTCTCAATTTAGACAAGTAACATATGCACCATTTAAACAAGTAATATATGCAGTCATGTAACAATGAAATAACACAAAGCAGTGAATGTAAACTAGTTGTTATCATCAAGGCTCCCTGGGATGGAACTCTTCACTGGGCTGGGGAATGGAAAAGGTCAGGCCAGGTGGGAACTGTACCAGTGCTGTAACATCCACAGGATGCAAGAGGGTGTTGGGAAGGGGAAGAACAGATGTGGTGTTGTATATCTGTGCAACATAAAAGGACTGGACAGAGGACATACACCCATTCAATTAAGATTCAGGAAATTTTTATCCCTTACTAAAGTACAAGGCGCATGACCACGCATGGTGATTCTAAGTCACCATTAGAAATCACAAAACTATACAAGAAACACACAGGGTGATCAGAAGACTCACAGGTATTCACTAGTTTCTCTTCTTCCCCTTCCCACTCCCCCTCCTAACATTAACCTGCTTATCCAAATGTGCTTACATTCATGTCTTATCAGAAAGATTACTGAGTTAATCTGCTCCACCATACCTTGTTTGAATGCAGATGCCAGTGTTTAGTTTCTTTTACCATCTGTGCATATATTGGAGCTTCTTATAAATACCATTGATTAATAAGATGATAACTGCATTGATTTTTAGAAAATGGCTATTAAATTGCATGAGGCTCATTGTTCTCAATACCTCGTTTTATACTAATTTGAACTTATTTAATAAATGTATAAAATACCCTTTGCATATATTGGACTCTTGAACAAGATACTGATAAAGACAAGAGTATACCCTTGCTTTGGCCACCTGAAAGCCACAGCTACCTCCCACTTAGGACATCAGCGATTGCCCCACTCTTTTGCTCTGATAGCACCATGACCAGGTGTTCTCCACACATACACTCACTTTCCAATGGGCCACTGGTTGTGATCATTAGTTGCTCGAAATTCCACAAAATCTGAGATGTCTTTCTTTTTAACTTTTTTAATTGAAATAACATTGGCTTACAGTATTACACAGATGTCAGGTGTACAGCCTTCTAAGTCAACACCTGCATATACAACATAAGGTTCACCATCAAAAGTCTGGTTTCCACCCTTCACTATACAACTGACCTCTTAAACCCTAAGTACCCACTCCTCCCACTTCTCTTCAGGTAATCTTTTTCATTAAAACTCACTTCTACTTATGCTAAAATGTACTATGCAATCACCTGATGAGCCTAGGATCCACATGAGTAAGCAACCTAAGGACAGTCTTACCTTGGAAGTGTCTAATCCAGACGTCTTACTCCACAAATAACCACACCATGATCCAAGAGTCTTCCAAAGGAGAGATGCTAGATTTAGACGCAACCCAGTTCTGCCTGTGTTAGAAGTGTGCCTTTTTGAGGATAGAGGAGCTTTCTTGGGAAGTGACTAAGCCACCTTCTCCTTTCCCTTGGCAAAGGGGGTTGCTGGCAGCTGAAATAAGCCTTGAACGGGGTTCCTTCTGTCTGTTGTACTCAACTCAATTCAGCCACAGGGTTGAATTTAGTCAGGTCTTCAGGCAACTCTAGATTTCATAGCAAATTTTGTGATAGAAAACAGTTGTAATGGAAACAGGACACAAGAGAGGCAGTTGCCCTAGAAAACTGATTATATTTTCATTAGCAAAATGCAGTCTCAATTCCAAAAGAATTATTCAAGCTCAGACAATGTGCCCATAAATTGGAGACCAATTCATTCCATGCCATCAAACCAGTGTGGATTTCACATCCACACAAGGGAGATATTACAATAGTTACTTAGTGGGTAACAGGGGAGGGGCATGGAGAACTTCAGGACATGGCCCCACTCAGAAGTCTGTAATAAACCCAGAGCGATGATGCATGCAAATATTGAAAACAATAACAATATACGATAATGTTGCATGGCATACTCACGAGTAAAAGAGAAGAATGAACCATGGAACCATTAATGAAGAAGAAAAGAATTGGGCCTTGCAGCAACCGCTGGGGTTCATAAACCAAATGACCTGGATGAAATCAGCTTCAAGTCCAAGACGTGTGGCAAGTTATTTAAGCTTTCTAAGGCAGAAGCAGCTCTGATATTTTGGATGTTCCCAACAAGTATTGGCTATTATATCCCAGCTTGAGCGTCAACCATCATTTCGAGGATGGAGAGGACCAGGGCAGAAGAACAGGGGTAGGCTTCGCGGCAAGACGAAAAGATAAAATGAATTCATTGATCTAAGTAATCACCCTTGCCAAAAGCTCCACCAGCTTACTTTTGTCACTTTGTTGGCATCTACCAAACACCGGCGGGAGACTGCAGCCCTGAAACTTGATTCCACCCAAACGTCCGCACGCCTCGGCACCGCCCCCAGATCCCAGCGCCTGTCCCCAGGGGGCGCTGTCGCCCCGCCTCCGCTGCCCTGCCCGGCGCGCGCTCCCGCCTCCCGCCCCTCGTGTACGCGCCGCCCAGGTGAGGAGGCGGTGGCCTGGGCCCCGACGGGGGCGGGCAACTCTGAGGACGGGGCGGGGCGGAGAGG